TTGCAGATACAGTTTGGACTACTCCCTTTCGCCTCGAGAACTCTCGACTCAGGGAGTGGGGGACTCCTGATGGAATATATGGACCCCGACCCCCCGGCCTGCCGACTACTGGGCCTGGACAGCGGCCCACACACGTTTAGTGGATTCATATTGTACATTATTATTTAGATGTTCTAGATTAGCTTTTCATACTATAAGTCCATTTATGTAACCGGGTCTGTCAGGCCCGTATTAGAGGCCCAGACCCGGATTTCCCTATATATACTCTTTATAGGAGGCTTGTAAAGAACACACACAAACTCACATTCAATACACTTATCTTCTTCTTCTACATTTTCCTACTACATTCTTGTTCAAATCTCCTTTTCATATAATATGGGTATCAATTATCCAACAGAAAAGTAAATGACAATTTAATTATTTTATATGGAGTACCATTTTTTAATTTACGAGCCCAAATAAAGTGTCACCATTAATATAGGATGTACACAATACTTCCCTTATTTAAACAAAATCTTACTTCCACCTGGGAAATTTTCACAAATAGGCTTATAAAGAAAAGTAATATCACTTTTGTCACCCTTTAATATTTCTTTCAAAAATAGACTTGTCCCACTTTTCTTTTCAAAAATAGTCTTCTACTTAAATTTGATCCACCCGAGCCTCTCTTTTATCAAGCAGCCATTCAGCCACTCTTTTCAAAATACAAAAATTTCAAAAATATAAAAAGAAAATACTAAAATTTTAAAAAAAGTTTTTTGTGACTAAAATAATAATAAAAATTGTAAACAAATCTAATCAAACCTTAAAATTATAGGCCAAATATGAAAAATGATATAAAAATTGTTTTGAACTATTAAAAATAAGAAAGCAATAGGAAATTTTTATGAAAGATAAATTATTAGAAAAAACGGAATCTTCGCAATGTAAAATATAAAACTTAATAAATTCAAATTTGAAATAGTTCTATAAAATCATACTAAAGTTTATGAAATATAATAAAAATATATTTTAAACCAGAAAAATATACATAGCATTAAACATGAAATCATGTAAAATATTAAACGTGAGAAAAAAAAAAAAAAAAAATAAAAAGTAAAATTTTAAAAGAAATAGAAAATATAAAATAATACTCTTCAAATTCTTAAAAAGTCAGAAAACTAAAGTAAACAAAAAAGTGTGCAAATTATTTTAAAAATGTGAAAACAAGTAATGGAAATATAAAATTTAAAAATTAATAAAATTTTGGAAATTAGAAAGGATATTTTTGATTTATGTTTTTCAAAATTAGTTGAAAATAATTATTACTCCTATCACTTAATTGTTAGTTTTTGTTGAAGTTTCTTTTTGTTGATAATTTTGAAGTTTTTGTTTTTTATTGTTTCTTCATGTTTCTTGTAGTTAATATTCATAAATCCGAATGTAACATTTTAAGTATGTATTGTTAGATTATGCAGAAGTAGGTAAAATAAATGGAAAAATTTAAAAGAAACGGTATACAACAAAATGCAACTTTTTACAAGAAATAGCAACAAGATGCAATAAAATGCAACAACATACAACAAAAAGAAACAATTTGCAACAAAAAGAAACAAAGTGAATACGTACAACATGCACAAGTATCTAATGATAAATACATAATGCACAAGTATCAGAATCATCATTACAATTTATTCTACCAGTTGCAAACTTTTTATAAGAAATAGCAACAAGATGCAACAACATACAACAAAAAGAAACAACTTGCAACAAAAAGAAACAAAGTAATGATACTACTGCTTTCTGGTTCCTTTAACATTTCCTGTCCTTAATTTATGTTGCTGTATATTTCCATTGGCTTAGCATGAAGCTCTTTAAGCACGCCTAGAGGATATGATCAAGTTACGAACTAAAGTAGTCTTCTGCATTTTTATCTGGTAAAATCATTTTTGGTGATTTGATATTGACCATAGTCATTTGATCATTTGGGTCTAAAACCAGCTGCCAGACAGGGTTTATGTAATTCCTGCATTCTTGTACCTTAATCTGCAAGTGGAAAGGGATGTTAACAGTTGCACGAGCACTTATTCTTGAAGATGAACAATAAAATGTCGTATATGTTCTGGATTTAAAAAAGTTGAGCATGAACATTGAGTATAGACCAATATTAAATAAATCAAATGGAAGTACAAAACATTGGGGAACAAAATGGAGAGGCTAAATAAGTACAAGTGATAATTCAAACTAAATTAATATTTTTTACTTTCTTCTAACTCTATTTTGGCACATGAAAACAAGCTTCTTTTCCTGAGATAGGACTCTCATAAAGAGCTGCTTGGAACAGAGCTGTATTTTTAAATGGAGCTTAAGGAAATCATTTCTAATAAAAAGAGGCTAACTTAAATAAAAGTCCAAAACAATGTTAAGACAAGCAAAATGAATGTAGTGTTAAAATATTCCACTTAATTCAAAGAAAGTATTGATTGAACAATTAATTTTTCACCAATCCTTCTATTTATTTTAACAAAAACAACAGACAACTAACAATACTCCCTATTCTTCTCCAACCTCACTACTGCTACTAGCCCTTCTGATTTAGTATGGATGGATTTGTAGGATGTAGAAGAGACACCAGTTCAAGGAATTTCTTAGAGAAAGAGAGTGAGAGAGCAGTATTTTTTTGCAGTCTAGTACTCTAATTTTATCTTAGCTTTACTTCATTCACTTATTTATCTAGTTAGCTTATAGGCCGAAGATGTTAAAGTGATCTCTAAAATACACAATTTTGTTTAGAGGTTCTCAAGATTTATCTAACAGAATGATATCAATGGGAAATGTATGCACTGATGCACCAAGTTTCTTAATCTTTAATTCGGCTTATAACTTCGATCATGACTAGAACGAACTATAAATGGACACAAAATAGATCCTTACTGGACTCCTGTAGTAAGAGAAAACAAACTGACCTCCACTACGACACCTAAACATATGAACAAGCATAAGTTAGAGTGCTTTTGTCATATCCTTGAACTTAATATAGGCTGCTACAATGATGAGTTAAGAAAATATATGTTCCATTGTTGATTTCAGAGACGTAAAGACAAAATTATGCTATACACCTAACAATAGAGATTACATTTGCCCATCTAATTAAACAATAGCTAGTCATCAAGACTAATCTTTCCAAATTTAAGCGGAGCATGTAACTTACAATTCCTAATCTAAAAAAGTAGAAGACCGCAAATACAATCTTAGAGGCCATCCTTTATGCCAATGCTTATATTATGCACCTTTATTGATAGTTTTTGTCTATGGTCTTCTATATCCTTCAAATGTAGAATCATCATTTTCATGTGACATTTATGTAGAAACTCGAAGGTCATCGTCTGTAAACTTCTATTAGTTTCCAGATTTTGTAAGGTTTTCTTTATGAATTCCCTAATACGGATTACGGAGTTGACCATTTCATCTTCATATTAGTGTTCTATTTAAATACATAAACCGCAGAGCACATTTGTAGGATAAACCGAATATTGGTTTCAGAAACTATTGATACTAACATTCTAAATTTAAAAACATTTGAATAGAATCTCCACCAAATGAAAACCGCTCAAAACAAGCTTATATTCAAGCAATCCAACCATAAAACTTCCTAGGAATTCAAATCACTTTAAATACCTCATGAACTTATTCATTCAAAAAGAGGATGCAGAGATCGATATCGAGGGAAAGCTCTAGCCTGGACGTTGGAGGAAGATCCTTTCTCGGATCTGAATTGGAAAGTTCAAATCGGCAACCTGGGCAACCGTAACTGAAGTGCTACAAATTCGCAAATCGGCGACCAAGCTACAGTATCAAAATGGCGACTATGCTCAACTCGGTCTGCAAATTCATCCCCTCTCCACTATGCTCTTCATCGAGAAAGCTCTCTCATCTACATCGGAAAAACTTGGAAGCCTTCGCTTCCTTTTATTAGCCTGGATATCACCAGATTGATAACCTAGAGGACGCTGGGGTAAGGAATCCGAGCATAACTCCATTGGCGATGCCCAATTTTGACCATGGAATCCCCTTCCTTAGAGTTGGAACTTGGAAGTCGTCATTCGCTCGCTCTGGAAGCCTTCCGATGCAGGAAATCCACCTTACTTGTCTCGGTTATATTATTTATCGATAGTAGATAAAGGAGGTCGACAACTAAAGGTCTAAAATTGAAATAAAAAAAAGTAATTGAAAATCGAAAAGATTAAAAATGAAAAGAAGAAACAATGGAGACATAAATGATACATGGGACGTAGAATTAGACCGTACGGGTAATTTCCACCTTTCACTTTTGCATGGTTTTAAAAAATTAGACCTTTTATTTTCATAAATACCCTTTCCACTAAAGTAAATAATACTCCGTACTATAGAATATTATTACTCAAGTTCGAAACCCGCTAGGCACATTTGAAGTGAGTTTTGGCATTGATTACTCCTGATCCTCCAGTCCCCCCCCCCCCCCCCCCCCAGATCCCACTGGAGTAAAATAATAATAATAATACTATAGAATAATATATTGTTTTGATACTGTTTAATGATGTAAAATTATTACTATTATTCAAGGATATTAAAATAAATTGAAATTAATAAAAGATCTAAGTGAAAAATAGCTAAATGGAACACTTTACTTATTTTGATTATTTACGTATTTGATGAAAAAGATGATTGATAAGACTGATAAAAAATGTATACATGATCACTGAACGGACACTTGTTGATAGAGTAAGAGCCCGTTTGGTAACCTTATTTTTCGACTTACCAGGCTTATCAGACAAGTTTTCCACCAAACATGTAACTTTCGATTTCGTGCGTTAAATTGTGTAATAATAAGAAAAAATCAATGTATGAGTTACTTTTTTTATTGTATTGGCTGAAGTTACTCTAAAAGATCATTTTAACTATTTTACATGTAATTTTTTATTTATTTTATCAATAAAATATATTTTAAATATAATTTTTTAATAAACCAGCATAATCAGTCATTCAGTCACTTCAATCAAAATTTTATAAATTTAATACTCCGTAAGATTTTAGTATTATCAAACGGGCACTCTCTCTATAAGCCGGAATCTATTGATACTACACAATCATTGATGTTCGGTTAAAGATGCACACTTGCACAGTTGCACTATGTAAATCCAGGCATAAGAGCATAAGCACAACAGTCCACTGTTTTAGTTAGCCCCCCATCCTCCCCTCTCTTTATATATTTTGATTCTCAACAGACACACACTCCCGCATTAAACAATATAATCCCCTCCCATAAAAAGTGTATTGCATACAATTTCTACTTGTAGCTATTTATCATCAGATTAGGAGTTTGAGATCCAAGATTTCATTCAGAACAAAATGTCCCAAAAGTTGTTTCACCGGAGAGACGACTCAGGCGAGCTTGATGTGTTTGAGGCTGCAAACTATTTCAACGATGATCAAGTCTCTTTCTCTGATAATAACCAAATTAATGTCAATGGTGGGGGCTGCCACAGCCAAGCTGCCTCCAGCAATGAGGAAAGAATGAGCACTGACACTCTTTTTCCTCCGGACACCCAACATTCATCAACTGAATCCGGTACTTACACTTCTTACCTTTAAGTCTTCGATCTTATCAACGACACGATTCGCAAATCTTTTACAAAAAGAGACCTGAAAAGGTTAAAAAGTAGTAGTACTAAATATGTTTTACTATCATAATGTGACTTATTAAGAAGAAACTCGACTCAATGTAACTTATTTAGAAGTTTCTAAGTTCTAAACTCCATAGAGAGAGTTTCGGTCTTTGTTTACTTCAGGCTCCCCCAACCCCTCCTATAACCCCGATAAAAAAAGTAGAATAAAACAATAAAAACCAGTAAAGGAGTTTTGTTTTAGAAAGAAAACTTGTAGGGTTAAATATGTTTGATTTACTCTTATTTAGGGGATTATATCTTTCGGTAAATATGAACGTTGTTAGACTCTATTACTTCTTGAGGAAGTATCCAGTGTGGTTGATATTGAAATTTGGAAAAGTATGAAGGATTGTGAATCATAAAATTCAAAATATAAACAAAGTTCGGGAGAAACAAACATTATGAGACCATTGAGACGCCTAAAATGAGAGATGGAGTATACAAGAACATTTTTTTGTTTTTGTTTTTTTATTTACAAGAACAGTTTTTTTTATATTACTACATTGAAGCATGGTTTTGATCTTTAATTTCTTGTTTTTGTCCGATTTCATCTCTATCCCAAACTTTTGATCTGTTTACTCGTAATTTTACACATTTGATAGACTACTGAATAACCCCACTGTTTCTTTCTTAGAAATCTATGGTTTCAACTGCAAAACAGGGAGTGAGCATTAAACAAATAAAAGTTGCGAATTAATAGAGATATCATTATTAATCATATCATCACTTATTCCTTCAGAAATAGAAAAGCCAATAGCCCTGAAAGAGAAGTGCAAGCAGCCCAGCTCTCCAGGAGGGAAGCTAGCCTGCTTCTTGAATTCACTCTTCAGCCAAACAAACAGTTCCAAGAAGAAGAACCATAAATCGAAAACCCGCATGAACAAGGAGGAAGAAGATAATGCTCACATCCGGGCAGGGTCACTGAGGAAGAAGAGAAGGAGCAGCAGCAGCTTAAGTGAAGAAGAAGAAGAAGAAGTCTATTCAACAAATACTACTTTCAAAATCAATGCTCCATTTCCGTACAACCCCAAAATCCCATCATCCAAGGATGATGAGGATGAGGATGAGGATGATCACAGGCCAGCAGGATACAAGTTCATGTTCAGCTGTGGGATTTCAGAGATCAGAAGGAGAAGTGTTCATTGGACAGGTGAATGTAAAGCAGAAAAATATGATAATAATAAATGCAGCAAGTTTGATGATGATTGTGAGGATGATGAGGATGAGGATTATCACAGTGATTCAAGCTCTGATCTGTTTGATTTGCCAATCAGTGAGGTGCTGGGTTACTATACCAGTACTGGTTTGCCTGCTGTTGTTTATAAGGCTGCTCAAATAGATTACATCAAGAGAGGTGCACCCATTTCTACTGTGATTTGAGTTTGGTCAAATTAGATCTACCAGCTCTGCTATTGATGCAAGGAAAAGTGGTGAAATGGTTTTGTTTATTGTTTCAAATTCAATTACCTAAGTTTATAAAAAAAGAATGACGTCACATCTCTGAGGGGCCCCCAAACCCAACCGAACAGTACATTGGGAGGAACCTAAGTTCATATACACACACAATTAATTTCTTGAAGGGTTGAGATCTTGCTCCCAACCTCCCACCCACACCAAAATTAATTTGTTGAAGGGTCAAATAGGCACTATACTCGTCAGAAATGCTCAATTAGAACACTCAATTAAAAACAACAATTCACAAACTGGATTCACTAAAAAGTTTCATATTTCATTTTTACATGTTTAGTTCCGATTATGCACCGTATTATCTCATAAGGTGCAAACTATGAATCTGACGCCACAATTAAAAGACAAGTCTGTAAACCCGATTGTAAGAATCGGGTCAATTCACTCCCTTGACCATAAGAAAGTGTTAAAATTGCTAAAAAATCAAAACATTAACAAAAATACAATACATAAAAAAATATAATTGGAAGATATTATATTTTTCTGTAATACATAAATATAAATGTAAAACATAAAGTGAAAGATACTTTTATAATATTTTATACTTTACCTCCTTTATTATATTTAAATTTCAAATCAAACATTATACGATTTTTATGCAATTTATTTTTAGTTTTTAATATTAAATCTCAATAATTTTGATTTTGAGTAGGATAATTGATATTTAGATACTACTTTTATTCCAGAGTAAGGTTCTCATTCATTATTCATCCGTTCAATTTAAATTGTTCTTAATCTTTTACTTTTTTTATCCAACCTTTATCAAACTTAAGTGTTTTTGTAATTTTGTAAAACTTTTAATGCACTTTCTGAATATGTAAATTTTATTTGCTAAAAAAATCTTATTATTGACAGGGACCAATGAATCTTATAGCCAATCAAACATCATAAACAAAAATGGGGACCTTTACGTGGGACGGAAGGAGTAACATATATTAGGTTTTTTGATTTAATATTTTATTTTATGTTCATTTTTATATATTTTTGATTTAATATTTTTTAGTTTTATACTCCGTATATCAAATTGGATAATCATTCACTCCCGCTAAGATTGTATCATCTTTTATTTTCGATTTGTCCCACTAAAGTTCACTTATACCAAATTTGAAAATTTGTTGTTCTAAATCATTCTTACCGTATCAATTTTCTATATCAACCACATAAACTCATTATTTTTATAACCGCACGTCCGCACGACCTACTCATGTCCAATGTTAGTGGGACGGAAATAGTATATGCTACAATCCAAAACTATAAATTATAAAAATATAATTAAACTCTAGCTAAAACCTTGAACCTAATAGGAGTATAATATATAAAATGCAAAATAAAAATCGCAAAAGTAGGTCACACATGAAGGTTTGCCCCCACCCCACATTGATACTGTGGCTCCGCCCAAGATTGTTGATGACATCTTGATAAGTGTTGTTTTCTATAATACTAATATAATTAATTTACTACTACGTATATTATGATGGAAGGATGAAACATCTAAATGTACATGTCGGAAATTTGCTTATTTAGAATGAACTCATTTGGACACGTTTCATTCTTAATCCAAACTATACCACCCTTAGAGGTAATAATAAAATCTACACATAATAACAGATCATTACAACATGAGTTTAAAGAGGTAAGACCAAATAAAATCAAATTTAGGGTATGTTTGGCACAACTAGCTGAAAAGATACTTTTGTGAGTTTTTTAATAACCGTTAGCTTTTAGTGACTGAAAAGATCTTAAAAAGAAAACGTGGTACCTGTTTGGTAAAAAACTGACTGTTTGATTTAGTTCGGTTTGGTATACAAGCTGTTAGGATTAATTAATACTAAAAGTCACGGGCTTTTCCCAGATGCTACTCCCTGTAACATCTCAAAAAAGATCTTTTAATTTTTGAAAAGCTCTTAAAAATTGTCATGCCAAACTTACAACTAAAAGCTTTTAGAGACTTTTTGAATAGTACAAAACACTACAAAAAAATTCGCTTGTAGTCACGGACCGTAGTCACGGATTTGGTCTGTGACTAGTTAGTCACAGTTCTAATCACGGTTTAATCACGGAACGTTTTAAAAAAAAGTCACGGATTTGACCGTGCCTACGTCCGTGACTAAAGTGTTCCGGCCAACCCAATTTCGCCTCCGGCGGGATTTTTTTAAAATTTGAAATTAGTCACGGATGGTTCCGTGACTAGTGCCGTCACTACAGTTAGTCACGGATACGTCCGTGACTAATTCCGTGACAAGTGCAAAATTGATTTTTTCAACGTTCCAAATTTAAAGTTTTTTGACAAATCGTACCAAAAATGTGTAGTCACGGACACATCCATGACTAAGTCCGTGACTACAAGTTTTATATATGCAGCCCTCGCTTCATTCAACAAAATCACACCATCTACTCCAGATAGAATTTCATATAGAATTGAAGGATGTAATCTACCCATCTCATATCATTTTTCCTGTTTATGCAGATAAGGTATGTAATTTGAATTACGTATTTTTTGTATGAATTAGTTGGTTCATTTTAACTACTACATTAGTTAAATTAATACTTAACTAATTAACGAAATAAATTCCTTAAATTTAGTTACGTTAAACGTAGGTGTAATTTAAACATATAGGGTTAATTAAGTTGTATTTAATTAATTAAAATTACGTAAATTAGTTAAATATGTAAATTAGTTAAATACATATGTAAGTATATTATTAAATATAATATTGGCAATACATATGTTATTAATTTTAAAATATAGGGTTAAAATTAGGTAAATTAGTTAAATACATATGTAAGTATATATGATTAAATATAATTTAAATGCATATTATTAATATTAGTTAAATGTAAGTATTATTTAATTCAAATGACTTTATATATATATAAGTTTAGTATATTATTAATATATTATTAAATATAAGTATATGATTTCTTTATACTGGCAATTATTGTTAATTAAGGTGGCCTAATTTAGGATTAATAATGATTTAAATTAGGGTTAGTTAATTTAATTTAAATGTGTTTATTATATATATATGCTCAAATTATTGGATTTGCTCATATTATTTAATTTAGTAAATTGTTAAATGTGCATTATTAATAAGATTAAGATGTTGATAATTTTAGTATTGTGGATTAAATTAATGCCATTAACGTATTGTGCATGTTTATAGTTTAATAATATTAATTATTGGACGTTAGTTAATTTTAAGGGAATTTTAGTGAATTTTAGTGAATTTTAGTGAAATTTTAGGCAATTAGTTAATTTTAAGGGAATTAGTTAATTTTAAAGGAATTTTAGGGAATTAGTTAATTTTAAGTGAATTTTAGTGAAATTTAAGGAAACTAGTTGATTTTAAGGGAATTAGTTAATTTTAAGGGAATTTTAGGGAATTAGTTAATTTTAAGGGAATTTTAGTGAAATTTAGTGAAATTTAAGGAACTTGGTTAATTTTAAGGGAATTAGTTAATTTTAAGGGAATTTTAGGGAATTAGTTAATTTTAAGGAAATTTTAGTGAAATTTAGTGAAATTTAAGGGAATTAGTTAATTTTAGGGAATTAGTTAATTTTAAGGGAATTTTAGTGAATTTTAGTGAAATTTAAGGGAATTAGTTAATGTTAATCCGGACTAATTTTTTTTTTCAAAAACATAGTCATGGATACATGTCCGTGACTAATCGCGGGCTTTTTTAAAAACGTTAGTCACGGACATGTCCGTGACTACCACAAAAAATAAAAAAATTTAAATTAAACTTAGTCACGGCGCTTGTCCGTGACTAACATAAAAAAATTTAAATTAAAGTAATCACGGATATAGTCAGTGACTAACGCGCCGGAGAGCTAATTCCGGTCAAGATGTAGTCACGGACCGAGTCCGCGACTAATCCGTGACTACACTTAGTCACGGTCAACGTTCCGTGACTACGTTCTAGTCACGCGGAATTAGTCACAGAACTAGTCACGGACAAAATCCGTGACTAAATGTATTAGTCACGGATTTTTTACACTGCGGTCCGTGACTAAGTCCGTGACTACAGGTGAATTTTTTTGTAGTGAAAGCTAGAAGGCAGAGACTTATGTCTGCCAAACATAGCCTAATAACTTTGCGTACATACACATATCATGCCATTAAACTAGTAATGTTGAGCACTTTAAAGACTTTTTCATCAAAAAGTATAATTTTCCACTGAAAATTATACTCTATACAAAAAAAAAATCTTCAATAGGAGCCAAGTTATTAGTTATCGAACCAGATCTACAAGTATTTAAAGTGAAACTACTAATAATATTCACATTAATTAGTTATAAGACCAAAACTACAATTTTAGGGAATTAGTTAATTTTAAGGGAATTTTAGTGAAATTTAGTGAAATTTAAGGAACTTAGTTAATTTTAAGGGAATTAGTTAATTTTAAGGGAATTTTAGGGAATTAGATAATTTTAAGGAAATTTTAGTGAAATTTAGTAAAATTTAAGGGAATTAGTTAATTTTAGGGAATTAGTTAATTTTAAGGGAATTTTAGTGAATTTTAGTGAAATTTAAGGGAATTAGTTAATGTTAATCCGGACTAATTTTTTTTTTCAAAAACATAGTCATAGATACATGTCCGTGACTAATCGCGGGCTTTTTTAAAAACGTTAGTCACGGACATGTCCGGTCAAGATGTAGTCACGGACCGAGTCCGCGACTAATCCGTGACTACACTTAGTCACGGCCAACGTTCCGTGACTACGTTCTAGTCACGCGGAATTAGTCACAGAACTAGTCACGGACAAAATCCGTGACTAAATGTATTAGTCACGGATTTTTTACACTGCGGTCCGTGACTAAGTCCGTGACTACAGGTGATTTTTTTTGTAGTGAAAGCTAGAAGGCAGAGACTTATGTCTGCCAAACATAGCCTAATAACTTTGCGTACATACACATATCATGCCATTAAACTAGTAATGTTGAGCACTTTAAAGACTTTTTCATCAAAAAGTATAATTTTCCACCGAAAATTATACTCTATACAAAAAAAAAATCTTCAATAGGAGCCAAGTTATTAGTTATCGAACCAGATCTACGAGTATTTAAAGTTAAACTACTAATAATATTCACATTAATTAGTTATAAGACCAAAACTACAATTTCTCATACGGAGTATTACTAATTGTCATACTACAATTTTGAAAATCCCAATCTATATAGGGGGTTAACCTGGACTACTTTTTCAACTAAATTATGTTGTTATAATGATTTTTTTTAATGAAAATCATGTGATAGAGTATATCTAGAGAGATGTGAGAGCTAGAGAGAGAAGTGCAATAATATGCTTTAATAGAATGAATTTGTAACCCCTATAACTACTCCCAAGGGGAGTATTTATAGAGAAAATACGGGCTGGGCTCCCAAACCTTGGGCTTGGGAGGCCCATTTACAACTGGACCGCTACTGGGCCGAATACACAGCCACTAATGGGCTGTACAAATGAGTGAGTATAAAATCCGGTTCTGTGAAGTCTTCGTGGCCGACGAGGGCGTGGCCGATGAGGGCACGGCCGACGAGGGCACAGCCGACGAGGGCACAGCCGACGAGGGCACCCGGGTTCCTTGGCTTCAGGACCACAATCTGAGTTGGTACCTTCTCGGCCGACGGGGGTCCCTTGGCCGACGTGGGCGCCACTCGGTGTCTTGTGCTTTCTGTTCTTCTGAGTATGTGGGTCCAGGGGCTCAGACCCATATACTCCATCAGGAGTCCCCCACTCTCTAAGCTGAGATGTAGACGAAGTGAAGGAGAGTAGATTCCGGTGCTTTAATGCTTCTGGCCGATGCAGGCATTCCCAGGCCGTTAGCTGTTGCGGCGTTGGCGCTGTTTTCGTTTTGGTGATCCTGTTCTGTGCTTTGGCCGTTACCTGCTCCTCGCTGTGGGCGGGGAGGCCGTTGTTTCCTTGATGTGTTCATTTGGGGACGATGAGTGTCCTGCTTCAATGGTGGCCGTTGAAGGCGCGCTTTCCCTTTCTTGGGCGTTGATGGTCGAAGTTCACATTCGGGCCGATGAGGCCGTTGAGGTTGATCCTTGCTTTGAGGACGATGGCGTCCTTTCCTTTGGGTGGCCGATGAGGGTGCTAGCGCACTCCTTTTGGCCGTCGTTGACTGGTTTTCGTGTTCTTGGCCGAAGAGCCCATTATGATTAACTGTTGGCGGAGGATGATGAGTGCCCTTGCCTTAGGTGGCCAGTTTGGCCGTTGCTGATGACGTTATGTTCCTTTGGCCGACGAGGCGCAGTGTGATACATGGACGATATGGCCATGCTTCATGGTTACATTTGTTGTTTGCATTTTTCCTTTTGTTTTGTTGAGGCCGGTGTAGTCCCCCAGTCCCCCACTGCTTCAGGCCGAAGGGTGTGAGGGGTGAAGGAGTTGTTTGAGTCCCTGGCCGAAGCGGCCTCCCCGCAGTGCCCCTGAATCCAACCCTCATGGCGATTTTCTGGCCAAGGTAACCCTGTGGGAGAACCCTTGTGCGCAGATCGCTTGTAAAGAGTTATCATCAAGGGTCGTTACGAGGAGCCGATGGCTGTGGGTTCTTTGTTCCTCTGGTTCTGTGGCCGTTACGGGCGTTCATTACGTTCCTAGCCGTTGTCATCCCCTCATTGTTTGGCATTTGTGATCTTGGCAGGCAAGTAGGCCGTTGTGGGCGCTTGTTGGCACTTGTGAAGCCGGCCAGTGTGTAGGCCGTAGAGTCTGATTCGCTAGTGGGCTCCCATTGATATGTAGCTTGGCCCGTTGGTGACGTGGTGGCCTCCCATTGGTGGCCGTTGATGTGGCCATTGGGAGGGTGCCACGTGTAGTGACCGTTGGGTGGGGGGTTCTATAAATACCCCTCCCCCTCCGACGAGAAAACTCATTTGCATTCTGAATTGTCGAAGTGCTGGCCAATTTTCTAGAGAGATAAACTCCCAAGCTTGTTCTTCGTGTTCTTCGTGTTCAAGGTTAGTGTTCATCGCCATCTTCTGTACTTTGCATACTTTGCTTCCTAGGCTAGTGATCTAGTGTTTAGGCGTTTGAACACCCTTAGATCCTAAGTGATTCCTCTTAGGCTCGTAGTAGTTGTTATAATGAAGAGTTTGAACGAAGACTACTATCCGTACGACGACCAGCCGGCAGCCCTCCACCAGGTCACTCGACTATGAGGTGCTCGAGGAGTTCGAGGAGGAGATAGAACATTTAAGCCCTTATAAGTCCGGGGAGCCGGTAGACGACGAAGGTGAGGACGAGGATTCCGCCTCATCTTCAAAAGGTGAGGACGCAGCTGCGTCCCGAGTGGTGGACGGGGCATCCACTTCAGCTGTTATTCCGTGCCCGAGGCCAGTGTCCGCCGTTAAGGGAGCCGCTAAGCCGAAGAGGATAAGGAGGCCGAAGAGTGGGCCTGACGTCTCCTACCTGGATCTCACAAACATCTTTCTGATCAAGCCGGAGAGCAGCGCGGCCGACTACTTGGTTGCCCAGATGTACGTGGGGCCGTTCAGGCGGGTTAGGGCACCCAGGCCGTCGGACCATGTTCTTCATCCGCCACCGGGATACTTTGGAGTATACCCGATGAGTTTTGCCAAGGGGCTGAGGTTTCCCCTTCACCCCTTCATCACTGAATACCTTGACATGGTAGGGCTTCCTCCGGCCTTGCTGACGCCGAACATCTATTCTTTGATGGTGGGGTTTTTGCTCCGCTGTGAGGAGCTGGGCTACAGGCCGACGACGGCCCTTTTCATGAATCTGTATCAGATCGGCCGAGGAAGCCACAAAAACTGTGTTGCCTATGCTACTCTTCAACAGCTGCCGAAGAAGAGGAGCTTCACGGACTTGCCTTCGTCCATTCATGGGTGGAAGAGCAAGTTCGTTTTTGTATCCCTTGGTGAGAGTGGCACCGAGTTTCCCTCTCTCGGCCATACCGGGAGGTTTAATCTGCATGACCCGCCGAAGAGCTCTATCTTGGACGCTCAGGTGGAGGCTTTCTTGGAAGGGGGGCCGAGGAGCGTGAAGGATTATATCACTGAATACAAGATGACCGCCCTCGGCTTCTTGAGATACCATGTGTATGGCGATAAGGAGGATGATATCCAACTCTGGCCGAGGATGACCACCACCTTCGAAGAGGCCGACGTCCCAGATTTGGGCATTCCTGCTGAGGCCGATGGTAATTATTTCTTCGGCTTTCTTTCTTTATGATATGTTCTTTTGCCTTGCTAACCTGTTGTTTTTTCCTTGTGTAGATTTTGTCATGGATCATCGTTCCATCATGGCAATTGCTAAGGCCAAAGCGGCTGAGGAGTTGGCTGCAAAGGCGGCCGAGGAGGCCAGACGTGCCGCGGCCGAGGGAGGCAGGGCTACTGCTGGTGCGGCCCCAAAGCCTGCCCAATCCAAGAAGAAAAGGCCTCCCACTGATGGCCAGAAGAAGTTGACTGAGGCCGGCCTGAACGTTGCCAAGAAGACGAAGAGGGCACCGTCTCCTTCCCAGGCTACTGAGGCCGGCACCCTTACCGTCCCCAGTGTGGACGATAGTGGTCCTGTTGTGGACCTCACTGCTGCTCCTAGCGATGCTGCCCAATCGCTTCCTCTCGTCCAGGAGCCACGGACGAAGAGGGCTGGCAAGGAGATTGCCGCTGCCACCTACCAGAAGGTGGTGGAATACCCCGTCGGCGGGGGGGGGGGGGGGGGGGGTGTTTGACGATGTCGTCCTTGGCCACGATGTGCTGGCCCAGGCCATGCCGACCAAAGATCGGGCCTACCTTAAGAAGCTCGGGGACGTGAAGGTGTACAAGGGCGGGATGGATCTCCTCGTCCAAGTAAGTTCTCTTCCTTCTTATGTGTCGTTCTTGTCGTCGTCCGAGTGGAATTATTTTTCTGAGCCTTTGTTTGCCTTTTTTGTGCAGAGTGCCTTTATGCTCATGGAGAGCCACAAGAGGCAGTACCGGGAGATAGCTCGTCTGAAAGAGCTTGAGCAGAAGGCTGCCTCGGCCGATGAGGCGGTTGCTTGCTTGGATCGGCTCCGGGAGGATGCCAAGGCCTTGCAACAGAGGGCCGATGAAGCCGCTGCAGCTAGGGACGATGCCCTGGCCAAGCTCGAGGAGAGCCAAAGGGCACTGGAGGCCGAGCGGCGCAAAAACGAGGAAGCCGTGAAGGCGAAAGCTGAGGCCGAGGCTGCCGCTGTGAAGGCTGCTGATGAGGCCGTTGAGCAGTTCCTGGCCGAGGGGTAAAAGGCCGATGAGTGGCTCCCCTGGTGCTATGAAGTGGTTGCCGTCAGGCTTGAAGATTGGGGGATGAACTCCCCCGCCGGCCAGGAGTACTTCAGCAGGGAGATGGCCGTGTACTATAACATGGGCCAGGAGCGGATGCAGAGGCTCCTGTGTCGGCGGCTATCTCGTGCTCTGAAGGCCATGAATTACACTTCCGGGTGGGCTAGACGGAACTTGAAGCTTCCAAAGCTGATGAAAGATCCCGAAGAGCAGGCCAAGCTTCCCCTGTCGGAGCGGGAGTCCCCCATTGAGAGTTCCGACCTCGGCGAGCCGGATTACACGGAGTTTGACTTCCTGGACGATGCCACCAGTGCTGCGGCTGCCGCCGGCCAGGAGACTGAGGCCGAGGAGGGAGCTGACGACGTCGAAGAGCCAGCCGCGGATGGAGGTGTCTCAAAGGCTTGATCGGCTACTCCCCGCTCCCTTGTAATTAGCTTTTCCATTTTGTACCCAATTGATGTAATGGCCGAAGCGCCCACAATTGTACTGAATTGATTATAAATGAAAATTTTTGCTGTCCTGCTCGGCTATGAATTCCTTGTATGCTTATTTCTCTTTTATCATTTCAATTCTGAAATTTGTCTAAGTGTAAAGGTTACAACTTGGGTCACCCGCTTGTGTCCGCTACGTCCGTGAGGTAGTCCATCCTGTCCGGTGGCCTGGTCGGCCTGTTCGTCGTTTCTTTACTATCATAACACTTAGGATTTATCCAAAAAATTTCCTAAGTGTTTTGGGTCCACGTAGTTGCTTTCTTTCCGGCCTGGTGGCTTGGTCGGCCTGTCCGGTGTTGCGGTACTATCATAACACTTGGGGGTTTTTTTTTTAGAAATTTCCTAAGTGTTTTGGGTTCACTTAAGTGCTTCCCTTTCCGTCCCTGACCGTGGTGACCGCTCCGTCCTGGCGTTGTCCCCTTCTTCTTCTTTTTTGTTAGCATTTTCTAAGTGTTTAACTTCAAGTGGATGGGTGTTCTCCTCGTCCTGGTATTGAGTCTCTCCCCATTATTGGCAAATGATTTGGGAGATTTTCCAAGTGTTGTACCAATGTCGTTGTGGTCGGCCCAATGTTATTCATGGCCGTCGTGTTCCTTTGTTCCTGGTCTGATCGGAAAGGTCGGCCTGGATCCTTGTGTTGTGGCCGATAAGGGTACTTTGAACTTACTTTTTTGGACTTAGAATTTTTTCTAGGTACACATGCAAGGCGTAGGTAGCTAACGGCCTCAGAGTATGCAGGTACCCGCTTCGTCTAGAGTTTCTCCATTTAAGTACTTAGAGATTTTTCTAAGTATAAATGTGAGACAGAGTTCCTTCTTTGTGGTACCGCTGCCGGCTAAGAGATGGCCCTACCATCATCGGCCAAGGTCGGGATTTGTGGCCGATGAGGGTGCCCCTTGCTTTCCCCAAGAGAAGGCCCTACCTTCATCGGCCAAGGCATGGTTCCTTCTTGAGGAACTTTTTTCCTCAGAATTTTCTCTAAGTGTTTGGTAAACACTTGAACAAATTCCCAAAGACCTTTCGCTTGACCAACAGCCTGGGTTCCAGTGCCTGTATCGGCTATCCGGGGTGCTGTGGCAAGTAGGGATTGTTTCTTGATTGCTTGATTCCTCCGTGGGTGTGATAAGTGCCCGCTTCGTCCTGGTCATCCTCAGGATTGTGATTCTTTGTTTCATACCAAGCGTTGGTGCTTCAAAGGACTGTGGCCGATGAAGGTCACCTCTCGCGTGTCACCCAACCGATGCGATTAGGGTTTTATAGGCGTATGTTTCGGCCTTGACCATTCCCTTGTGGTGCGTGGACGTGTCGTCCATGTTTACCTGTCAGTGGTACTATACTTGTGTTCAACTGATATGTACTTGGCCAAATTGGGCCTCAATTGTGGGGATTTTATTGTTTCATTGCTCGAGGCCGGCTAGTGTGCACGGCCGTCGGCTTCCCTCTTTTTCCCTTATATATATATATATATATATATATATATATATATATATATATATATATATTTGTGTTTTCGGGGAGTATCCTTCTTTCAGGCTTCGGCCGAAGGGTGTGCTCGTCCTTCGGCCGGTTCGGACTTCGTTTATAACGTCCGTGATCTCAGGGCGGGTCCCGTCGCCTATTTATGACGCGGGCTAGACTTTTGGTTGGTTTCCAACGGCTGTCGTTGCCCATCCCTGAGTTTTGGGATTTTGTCACCTCGGCCATGATTTCAGGCCTGTCGTCCTGCGATCTGGCGCGTGGACGACGCGGTGAGCTTCCCGTTTCAAGACGTGGGCCGTTTAAGGGCCCCTCGTCCTGGGGACATCGTCGGCCATACCTGAGCGTTTCAGTTCTAGGCTTACGGGACCAGGACGATGTGCTCTCTCAGCTAGGCCTGAGCCCTTCGCTGATACAAAATACAATGTAACGCCTGATCTTGTCGATCGTAGGCTGCAAGTGCAAGGGGCCTCGTCGGCTACGCCTGAGCCTTTCGCTCTAAGGTGGCCGATGAGGGCGCCTGCTAAAGTCTTTACTTTAAATTCCAGAGAAAAAATCAAGAGGAACATGATTTTATTCATAAGTGGCTCGAGGCCGAGGGTGGCGTTCAATCAGTAACCCGTTAAGGGGTGAGGGCTTCGCCGTCTGCACCTCCTCCGGATTACTGATAAAACTTCACCAGATGGTGTACATTCCACGTTCGTGGTACATTGGACCCATTCGGGCGTTTAAGCTTGTAGGTGCCGGGTTTGACCACGGCACTGACGATGTAGGGCCCTTCGTACTTCAATGCTAGCTTGCCACCCTCTGTCGGTTGGCTTGCTTCCCTTCGGCGGAGGACGTAGTCCCCTACCTGAAATTCCCGGGAACGTACCTTGGCGTCATAGTATGATTTTACTTGACGCCGGTAGTTCTCTGCTCGGACGTAAGCTTGCTCACGCCTCTCATCGACCATGTGCAGGTCAATCTTCATGTTCTCTTCATTGACGTCAGGCTCATATTGTTCCACCCGTCGGCTGGGGATGGCAACTTCCGTGGGCGCCTTTGCCTCGAAGCTGTAGCATAGGGCGAAAGGCGTTTCACCTGTCGCCCTCCTCGGCGTGGTTCTGTAGCACCATAGGATGTTGGGGAGCTCGTCGACCCAACTACCTCCTGCGGCCTGGAGTTTCTTCTTAAGCCCCTCCATGATTGTTCTGTTGGCGTTCTCGACCTGCCCGTTGCCCTGAGGGTAGGGAACGGAGGAGAAACGATGCTTCACCCCAAACTCCCGGAGGAGCTCCTGGAAAAGGGCTGCCTCGAATTGGGTGTCGTTGTCTGATATAATCTCCTGGGGGACACCGAAGCATGTGATGATGTTCTTGTAAACAAATTTTTGGCATCTGGCCCCCGTGATGCTGGCCAGGGGTTCCGCCTCGACCCACTTGGTGAAGTAGTCGACGGCGACGATGATGTAGCGGTTGTTCCCGGCGGCTCTGGGTAGGGGGCCGACCAGGTCAATCCCCCATCTAGAGAATGGAATTGCGGTGCTGAAGGGGGCGTAGTTGACGGCTGGCCGACCAGGGGCCTTCTGGAGCACCTGGCACGTGGTACACTTCCTGGCCAGATCCGCGCAGTCTCGCGCCATCGTCGGCCAGAAGAAGCCCTGGACGACGAGACGTCGGGACATGCTGAAAGGGCCCTGGTGCGAGGAGCAGACGTCACAATGAACTTCTTCCATGGCTATGTCGGCCTCGTCCTGGTGCAGGCATCGGAGGAGAGTGCCATTATAGGACCGTTTGTAGAGTTTGCCATCTTCGATGGTGTAGCTTGGGGCCCTGAGTTTGGCAAGTTTGGCCCTCTCTTCGTCCGGGGGTAGCTCCCCTGTTGTGATGAAGGTGACGATGTCGGAGATCCAGTCCTCTGGTCGCTGTTGGACGCACAAGACGGGGCTGGCATGGATGCTGGACATGCTCAACTCCTCGATCTGGGCCAGCTGAGAGATGTGCTCCGGGGTGTCCGAGCTGAGTTTGGAGATGATGTCGGCCTTGGCGTTCTCGGCCCTTGGGATCTGTGTGATCTCGTGGGTTTCGAACGCCTTCAGTAGCTCCTCCGCCGCTCGCTTGTACTGC